GGCAGAACCCAGAACAACGGCATTTTCTGGCGTCGCCGCTGTCCCGCCGCAGCTTATCCATCATCCATCTATCTCCCTACACGGATCGTTGGCCTTCTCTCCGCCCGAGGCAATATCTACTGCTGATCAGATTTCTGATACTTTGTAGAACACGGAAATGACCACTCTGTCTGATAAATAGAACGATGTCACATGCGACTGAATCGTTGTGATATAGATCCTGGCATATGTTTCAAAATTTCTTCCGAGGCTCATTCTTTCATAAATCATTCAGAGTTTTATTCATGCAGAGAAACTTAACAAACCATTTGGCACGGCTGCTGTTGACTGTTTAAAATGTGTCATCAAGTGACTCGGATTCCAAGGGGAAAGCCTTTTTTCGATCAATCTTTGCTGTGATGATTTATTTTTTTTAAATTCAGGCAGCGAAGATGCGATGTTTGGGATGAAAAAATTTATGTCTTTGAAATTATCACTTACATTTAATAAATTAAATCTAAAAAAAGGAAAGGAATTGTTATAGAGTAAGTAGAAAAGGGTTAAGTAATTATGAAATCCAAAAAATTTTTTGAAAAACTGGAAGGAAATGTCTTGATCCTTAAAGTCATACACATTTCTTGTCAGTGCTGCAACCAGGCTTCGTCAGCACGACTGTTATAGCAGAATATGCATTTGTTAAGAGAATAATTAAGAAATAAATATTGTTAATAAATGATAAGGGAGACCAAAAGTTTGGCATACGTTCGAGAAAAAAGATTTCTTTTATCTGTACAGACAGAATCGCGAGTAGTAAAGCACAGAATTTTGACACTAAATCACGGAGACTAAGCACGTGGTCATCTTTAGTATTGTTATTGGAAAGCCAGAGTAGACATAAGAAGAGAGACAGACTAATTACACGAACAGTTGATAGTTCGATGTCCGGATAGCTATTGGAAATTACTTCACTGATTTTATTCTTTGTCCGTGTGCACCGAAATTAATTAATCAGCGGGCCGTTTAGCCGATTGTTGGGCTTCTACTGGCGCTTATCCTCGTGCTTCTGATTCTGGCACTGTTGCTGGCTCTGTTTCTCGCTCGGTTCTGTTGTTGCTGTGCGCGACGCGTCAAGGACGAGGATGAAATTTATCAGCGCAGCACAGTACGTGGATCCAAAATTCTGGAACCGATATTGGTGGCTACTCCCCCGCATGAGCGAATCTACGGAACGCAGGCGGATGCTATATACAGCACTCCATACTCTGGTAATCCTTATTTACAAGAACTCTACATTTCCTCGAAAACTGCTATTTCAGTTGAGTTTTTTTCTGATTTTTATGCGTTTTTGCTGGCTGTGTGTGTGTTCGGAAAACGAGTGCATTTTGTCACCCACTTTCATCTCAGCAACCAGGAAAGCT